CCCCCCCCCCCCCCCCCCCCCGTTCCGAGCCTCCACAGCAGATCCGAATTTGTCTCCAAATTCCCTCCTCCATCCCTGCCACCCCTGATCCCAGCCCTGTCATCTCTCACCTGGGATGCCCTCAACAGCCTCATTCCTGTCCCCCCGCTTCCCGCTCCCTTCCTCCCTGCCCGGACCCCAGCCCTGCTCCCTGCAGCCAGGCACCGAGTCAGACCACCCCTTGGTCCACTGGGGGAGTCCTGAGCCCCCCACCTGGGGCCCTGTCTCTGACCAGCACCCCTAACCCACCCGAGCCCCAACCACCAGCTCCTCCCCAGGGCACGACTGTCTCTCTTCTCTTTAGAGCAGCGGAGATTCCTGAAGAGCCCAGGTGTCGGCCTGGGCAGCGGCCATGGCCGGTGGGTGCTCGCGAGCCAGGCCCAGAGGGGAGGGCCTGCCATCACCCCCTCCCCAGGGGCCGTGCTGTGCCAGGAGCCTTGCCAAGTCCAGACCAACCTGGCTGGACAACCGAGCCCCGACCTGAGCCCCGTCCTGAAGGGCACGGCTGGCCAGCTGATGAACGCAAGCTTGCAACAGCAGAGTAACCTGCAGCCCCCCGCCGGCACGCCCCGGGGGAGGGCCAGAGAGTTCGCCATCCAGCAGAGTAACCTGAGCATGAGGGGGACCAGCTCGGCTCAGGGCAGAAGTCCCATCAGCCACCGCCTCTGGCCCCGCCTGACACCTCAGGGAAGGCCTCGCCCTCAAGGATCACTGGCTTGCCCGTGGTCCAGCCTGAGACAGTCCCAGCTGCTGGCCACAGACATCCCCGGCCCAGATGTCCAGCCTGATGCAGGCTTTGGTCCTTTCAGTGGGCACACACGGCCAGGCTCCAGACCCTGGTGTGGCCTGGGGAGCTGGCCCTCTGGGCTCAGAGGGAAACCCCTCACCCTGGAAGACCTGACCGTCCCTGTCCAGAGCCAGGCTCGGACCCCATCCCAAACGGCCATCCGCCAGCTGCTGGCCTCCGTGCGACACCTGGAGCGCGCAGTCAACCATCTCAGGTGCCAGGTGTGCCAAGAACCCAGCAATGGCCAGGTACTCCCTGCCCACCCCCCGTCCAGCCAACCTGTGCCTGCTTCCTGGGATGGGAGGGAGGAACACCTACCTACCAGGTCTCAGGGAAACTGTGCATTTCCCAGAGACACAGGGGACCCAGGCTGCCCTTTCAGACTCTCAGGCAAGCAGGAAGCCTGTGTCCCTAGAGACCATGCTGGGGATCCTGACTGGGGATTTCCTTGACCCTAAGCAGGGCGACCTTCAGGCCAAGCCCCTGAGGCAAGGAGAGAACTTCTCCCTGCGTCTGACATACAGCAGCGGGCAGAGGGGAGCGCCCTGGCTCCCTCAAGGTGCGGGCAGCAAGGAGGCCAGACTCTGCTCTTCGGCCGGCTCCTGGGCTGCCTGGGGTGTCCCACCCAGGCGGGAAGGAGGAGAGTTGACTCCACAGGAGCAGGTCCCCAAGGAGGAAGACAGCGTGGCTTCCTGCCCGCAGGACACAGCCCCAGTAAGGATCATTGTGCAGGTGGAGGCCAGAGGAGGCTGGGCATGGGAACTGGGGGACCCCCGGAGGGCTTCTCCCGGGAACTCTCATGGCCAGCTCGCTGCCACTACCCTGTTGGGCAGGCAGGCATGGCAGAGCATGTCCTGTCCTGCTCGCTCCTCAGCCTGAGAACTGTCATGTCTTTTGGCTTTCCAAGAAAAAAGCCCGAAACGTGCTGAGCCTGGAGTCCGAGACAGCCCGGTGAGGCCATGGGATGGGGGTGGGGGCTGGCCACCCTCCTGGGAGAACTGCTCCCCCATTTGCCTGGGCCAGGGGGGACGAGCCTCTGATGGAGGTCAGGCCCTGGCGGCAGGTCCTCGCGGGACTTCCGGGGAGGGGACTCCCTTCCCACCACCCCTGCTGGGGAACGCAAGGGCCCTCCCTGGCCCCAGGGACAGGGACATGGGGACTGCTGTTGCTGCTGCTGGGAGTCTGTAACCACTAAGGCTGTCTGGCACTCTTGGCCATCCAGGAGGCACTCTGAGGCTCCGGGAGCTTTCCTGGCCAGGACTTCCTGGGCTGGCCACCAACAGAGGGTGTTGTTCCAGCCCGCAGCCGGTCTTCCTGCCGCAGCATGGGGCATCAGGGCTGGGCAGGTGCCCCGGGTGGGGCGCGGCCCCCAGCTGCTTCGTGGGGCCCACCCCCCTGATCAGCCCCGGTCCGGCCCTAGCCGGCAGTGGCTCTCCAGATGTTTCAGAGCGTGGTGGCACTTGGTGCAGAAACGCCGGACGGAGGCTGCAGCAGTGGCCCTGGGCCACCAGCAGCTGCTGGGCAGAGGCCTGTGGGCGCTTCGCCGGGCTCCACGGCTCCGGGAGGCCCAGCTGGAGGTGGCGTGGCAGCGACACACTCAGGCCCTGCTGGCCCAGAGCTTCCAGAAGGTCAGCGGCCTCCCGGTTGGGCCATGGGGCGGTGATGAAAGGCTCGTATGTTGGGGGAGGGCGTTCCCCTGGGCACCTGTTCTGCATCTCCTGAGTGATCTGCGGGAGAGCAGGTGGAGGGCCACCCAGACACCTGCACCAGCTCTGCTTGAGATCACATCCTGCCTCCACTACTTTCTTGGTTCCACAATTTCTTGCTGTGTGACTTTGGGCAGGTTGCTTAACCTCTCTGTGCCTTAGTTTCTTTCGCTCCAAAAGGGGATGATAATAATAGTACCTACCTCTCAGGGTTGTTGTGAGGTTAAATTAATACAGAGAAAGGACTTAGAACCCTACTTAGCACATAGCAAGTGCTCCGCCTTATGGGTGGTTGCTGTCTTTTACTACTGGTTAGCTAGCCAGGGCTGGCAAGACACGTCTGTGTTCTTCCCTCCTTGGGAAAGGGGGTGCTCTGGGAGGGCCCAGCTCCCGATGTTGCCTCTCAAGGAAAGCACTGCGTCTTGGGCTCTTTCTCTGCATTCATTCATTTATTCCCAAAGGGGCCGGGCAGTCTGCAGGTTAAGACCGAAGGCTCTGTGGTCGGACATTTCTGTCCCCACATCCCATCCAGGTGCCTCCTCTTGGGGTTTGAGGCTGCCGCTGACATCCTTCTTTCCCTCTCTCTTCCCCAGTGGAGAAACCGGACTCTACAGCAGAAGCAGGGGCAGCCCCACGTCCAGACTGGGCCGGGACCCCCACCCTCTGGGGCAGGACAAGGCCAAGGCCCCTCAGGAAGGGAGCCAGTGGCAGACCCCATCAGGAGAAGCAGGTAGTCCTGGACAACCCTGTGGCGCATTGGTCGGTGTGGCCTGGGCAGTTCGGGTGGCCTCCCCTTCCCTGCTTCCTGCCTCAATGCCCAACCCCCTCCTGGCTCCCCCCACAAGAGAATGAGGATGAAGTGGACAAAGATTTGTACAACAGTACGTCCACAGCCGCATTATTCACACCTGCCTCTTACTGGCGTTATTTCTGATCGGAACAGTCACACGTGCTTGATTCAAAAAAACACCCCCAGATAGTTATCTGAACCTTTCACCGCCCTTCCCCACGTATCCCCCTTCCTAGAAGCAATTTCCTGGTATTTGCATGGGATTTTTAGTGACGAGGATAAATGGTTGTGCTATGTTAGATGGGGGGAAAGGCTAAAAAATGATGTGTAAGGTATTTTTCGTGCACATGAAACGATACAGAAGGAAAAACAGTGAAATGTTGTACAATTACTGAGCACGACCGAACCGCGCACTTAGAGATGGTTAAGACGGTAAGTTTCATGTATTGTGTATTTTACCACCGCTCAAAGTGAGAATCAATAAATATTTCATCCAAAAAACATGCTGAAATAAACAGATAGTGCTTAGTGAAATTCAAGTTGGCCATTTCCTCTCCATTCCCTCAGTCGTCCGCTACAGCAAAGTAAGGGTTTTGTTCCTCCTTAAAAATGAAACAAACGTGTTTAAAATAATTATTCAAATGCCATTTGCTTGAATACATGTTTGCGGTAAGAATCCAAACAGGATTGAAGGGGCACCTGGGTGACTCAGTGGGTCAAGGCCTCTGCCTTCAGCTCAGGTCAAGATCTCAGGGTCCTGGGTTCGAGCCCCACATCAGGCTTTCTGCTCAGCGGGGAACCTGCTTCCCCCTCTCTCTCTGCCTGCCTCTCCGCCTACTTGTGATCTCTGTCTGTGAAATAAATAAAATCTTTAAAAGAGGGGCGCCTGGGTGGCTCAGTGGGTTAAGCCGCTGCCTTCGGCTCAGGTCATGATCTCAGGGTCCTGGGATCGAGTCCCGCATCGGGCTCTCTGCTCAGCAGGGAGCCTGCTTCCCTCTCTCTCTCTATCTGTCTGCCTGCCTCTCTGTCTACTCTACTTGTGATCTCTCTCTGTCAAGTAAATAAATAAATAAAATCTTAAAAAAAAAAAAATCTTTAAAAGAGAAAGAAAAAATAAATTTAAAATTCAAACAAGATTGAAGAGAGTGAAACAGGGGCACCTGCATGGCTCAGTCGTCAAGCGTTTGCCTTTGGCTCAGGTCATGATCCCCTGGTCCTGGGATCGAGCCCTGCATCGGGCTCCCCGCTCATCGAGGAGCCTGCTTCTCCTTCTCCTTCTGCCTGCTGCTCCCCCGACTTGTGCTCGCTCTCTGTCAAATAAATTTTAAAAATCTTAAAAAAAAAAAAAAAAGAATGAAACAAAGGCAGAATCTCCCCCCAAGTTGCTTCCATAATCAGGGATGACCTGGAGAGAACGGGGTCGGGGAGGGGCAGCTCATCGCACCTGTGCACATGCCGTGGTGGGTGGCGGCCAGGTGGCCAGGCTGGGACTGTGCGCTCTCCCTCAGCCCAACCCAGGTCATCGCTTCCTCTCTCTGGGCAACTTCACTTGCAGTCCAGGGAGTCCGAGGGAGGAGGCAGGAGCCTGGCCGAGACCAGCTGGAGGCGATGGGGTAGAGCAGATGCTGCAGGTCTTACAACAACTGGCTGGTGAGCTGTGGGCCCCCACAGGCCCCAGGAAAACAGGGGAGAGGGAGCGGGGCTGGCCCCGAGCACCCACACTGGGCAGGGCTGCGGCTCCCGCACAAATGAATGTTTACTGAGCATCTCCTGGGACAGCTTCCCAGACACGATCTCATTTGAGCGTCCAGGGACCTGGGCAAGGCTTTGTGCCCAGTGTACGGTTGGGGAAAGTGAGGCACAGAGAAGTTAAGTGACCAGCTCAAGGGCACACAGTATGAGAGGTGCACATCCTGTATTCATGTCCCGATGCTAATTCAGGTCCTACAGAAGTTTGAGTGTTCGAACCAGAGGGTCCCTCAGACATCACTCACTCACGGGGAAAACGGACACACAGAGACAGGGAACAACAGAGCCTCCTCCTGTCCTGATCCTCCCTACTCTCTCTCTTCTCGCTCTTCAGTCTTCCTCTTGTGGTTCCATCTGAAGGAATGGGCCTGGCAGGAGAGGGGGGTCCAGAGAGAGGCCTCCCAGGTCGCACTGAGGACTCAGAGGAGGGGGAGGCCGCCCCTAGCCCCGTGCTCTCCTGTGACATGTGCACCCAGGGGAGCCTCTCCGGACCCTGAGCAGCGGAGAGCCTGGCTCGGCAGGTAGGGAGGAGCGGAAGAAGGTGGGAGTGGGGACCCCCTTCCTTGAGGCAGAGGGGTTTGGTCCTCAGCAGAGCTCGGTGCTGGCCGCCCCCAGCCCCCCTCCAGGAAGCATGGCCATCACAGTGGGTGCGCCCTAAGTTAAAGTGTTATGAGGGGAAGGAACACAGTCCCGTAAGAGGGTTTTTCCTGTGTTAATTTTTTACGATGAGACATTTACATCTTACACGAAAGTAAAGAAAATAGATACTAACCCCCAGTGTGCCCATCACCCAGCTTCAAGAAAATCACCTCCTGGGGACGCCCGGGTGGGGCAGTGGGTTGCGTGTCTGGCTCTTGGTTTCAGCTCAGGTCACCATCTCAGGGTCCTGGGATCGGGCTCCGTGTTGGGCTCAGCGTGGAGTCCCCAGGAGCTTCTCTCTCTCCCCCTCCCTCTGCCCCTCCTGCTCATGCTCTCTTTCTCTTTAAAAAATAAACCAATAAAATATTTTAAAAAGAGAAAGAAAAGGAAAATCACCTCCTGAAAACCCTGTTTCATCCATACCCCAATTGCTCCCCCTACGTTATTTTAAAGCCCCCCTATCGTACCGTTTCACCCGTAAATACTTCTGCAACGTCTCTAAAAGATAGGAAATCTTTTCAACGACATAACCCCCGTGCCATGATCACGCTTAAAAGTGAACATTAATTGCTTAATGCCAAAAAACATCTGGTCAGACTTTACATTTCCCACTGTTTTACAGGTGCACATTCTGTTAGAGCTTGTTTGAACCGGGATCCAAATAAAGTCCTTATGTTAAAGTTGGTGGATAAGCCGTTAAGGTCTTTTTGAGCTCTGATGTCCCTTCTAGTCTTTTGGGTTTTTGTTTTTCTTTGCAATTTATCTGTGGAGGAAACCAGGCTGCTGGTTGAGTAGAGTTTCCCTGGGTCTGATTCCTGCTGACTGCATTCCCCCGTGTAGCTTTTTCTCTCTTTTTTAAAGATTTTATTTTTATTTATTTGAGAGAGAGAGGGAAGGAGGGAGAGCACAGAGGGAGAGGGAGGAGCAGGCTCCCAGCTGAGAGCAGAGAGCCCCACGTGTGGCCCCGGGATCACGACCCGAGCCCAAGGCAGATGTTTCACCCACTGAGCCACCTAGGTGCCCCCGTCCCCCACCAGTGCCGTTTCCTAGGAGAACTTTGAGCTTGACCACAGTTTCACGGAGATGTGAGGGTGAATGCTTGGCCCATTGAGGGAGAGCCGGCAGGAGAGCACTGGGCAAGGGAATGGCGCAGGCAAAGGCCCGTGACAGGGGAGTGTGGGAAACTCAAAGGACACCTTGGTAGCCCAAGGTGGGGAGCCTGGGGGACAGGGGAGGGTTTAAGGTGATGATGGAAAGGCATGCGGGGGCCAGATCACGCATGGCCTTGTAGGTGGTGTTGAGGAGCTGACATTCTGTCCTAAGCGCAAGGCAGGGGGGCGGGGGGGTTGGCGCTGGAGGTTTTCAGCAGGGGAATAAGATGACGGCATTTGAGCTTGGGGAAAGATCACTCTGGCCACGGAGCCGCCACTGCCTGGAGGGGCCCTGAGTGGATGTGGGAGGCCAGACAGGAGGCTGCTGAGGCCATCCGGGCACCCGGGGGTGAGGGCGTGGTGGCCTGAACAGGTTCAGAGTGTGAAGGGGCTTGTCCCCGGCCTCAGCAGTGGCACAGGGCAGGTGGCTGTCGCTGCCGTCATTACTACTAGTACCAGCACCTTCTCTTGGCTCCCCAGGTGCTTTGGGGCCTGGCAGAAGTTCATGCTAAGAGCCGCCCGGTACCGGGACCGCCTGGCCCGCCACCGGGCAGGGACCCTGAGGTTATGTCTGCAACAGTGGATGTGGATGAAACAGCTCCGGGCCTCAGATGGAGCGAAGGTGACCCAGCTGTCCGTCTGCCGCCAGAAGGCCGGTGAGCGAGTGAGGGGCAGGCCGAGGGGCTCCCTTTCCCTCCCACCCCAGCAAACGTTGTCACCTAAGCTCCTTCTGTGGTGGGCCCCAGGGGAACTGATGGCTTCTCGTGATGGGGGATGGTAGTACCCGGAGCATTCTGGGGGGTGCAGTCTGACGGCCCAGGAGGGTCCAGGAGGGGTCCCCAGAGCGGGCAGGCCTTGGCTGGGCCCCATCCTCACTCCGGGTCATGAGCTGCTCTAAGCAAGAGACTTTGTTCCATCTTCTGCTAGGAGGGGATGTGGTCGCTTCTCTCAGAAGTTCCTGATCTGGGAGATAATTCACAGCCCTTGTTTCCCTCCCCCAGGATCTGATAGGGGAAGATGGGATCTCCGAGGTGTCTTGGAGGGGAGGATTTGGAGGCAGTGGGTGGGGGCATTGCCTGGGAGGGGAGCTCCTAAGGAGGGGTGAGGCGGGCTGAGGCTGCCACAGGTTCCACCAAGGAAGGGCTTTTGGGTGGAAGGAGGTCACTGGGGATGCGGCTGATTCACCCTTTGACGGCTCCTTAGGGAACACAGCCCTCTGCAGCTCGGCGCCCGGAGGGGCCACAGCCCAGGGCCTGGGGGTCATGGCTCAGACCCAGGGGCTGCCCCCGGAGCAAGGGGGGTGCAACCTGCAGGAAGCCTGCAAGAGATTGGCCCTGCACCGGGTGCTGCTGCTCTGGAGGACACGGCTGTCCCAGCGCCAGAGGGCTGAGTAGGTGTCTGCAAGCCTGTGACCCAGGGTTGGGGGGGGGGCATGTGAGTGGAGCTGAGCCCTGGGAAGTGCCCCATGGGGGATGGGCCGGGTCCTGCTCTTCCCCAGGCTCTTGCAGAAGGCACCCCCCCTCCCCGGGCCCAGCACGCTGTGATACTGGTGCAGGGCTCGGGGAGGTGGCCCAGGGGCCTGGAAGACAGTGACTGAGCAGAGAGCGAGCTGTGGGAGCCATGGGTTAGCCGGGGACGCAAACGCTTGTTCACACAAGAGCTTGTGAACACAGGAGCTTGCTTGCTCTTCTCCAGGATGGGTGGGAGCCCCCTGGTGGCAGGAGCCGTGCCTGCATTGCCGTGGTCTGGCAGGTTGGAGGAATGGTCCCGTGCCCCTGTCTGCCTCATTATAGAGCTAGAGAAACTGAGGCTCAGAGGGCCGAGCAGCTTGCTTGAAATCACACTGTGAGTTAGGAGCAACTCTTTTGGTCGCTGTTGCTTTTCTACAAGTGCTGGGACCCAGACTCCGGACTGGTGGCTGCGGGGGAGGGGGTGATGGGGGTCAGGAGGGGCCTGCCGCCCTGGTGGAATGTCAAGCAGAATGTAAGCCAGCGGTTGCAGGGATAAGTTGAAAGCCCCATAGTGGGATGCCTGGGTGGCTCAGTCAGTTAAGTGTTTGTCTTTGGCTCAGGGCGTGATCCCGGGGTCCTGAGATCAAGCCCCAGGTCAGGCTTCCTGCTCATTGGGGAGCCTGCTTCTCCCTCTGCCCCTCCCCCCATTCATGTGCGCATTCTCTCTCTCAAATAAATAAAATCTTAAAAAAGACAAAGCCACATGCCAAGTATCCATCGTCCCACACCCACTTGGTCCACTTGGACCCTCTGTCTCTTTGAATGAAGCCCCTAGAATTCCCAGGGAAGTCAGTTCACCGTGATCCCTCAGAATGTAGCTCTCCCTCCTGTAGTCCACCCTCTAGCCTTTGGGCACCAGGGAACAGTCGGTATCTCCTTCCGACATAGCTGGGGCTGTCCTGTGCTCTAAAATAAGCTTTTGGATTCCCCCATCTTCTGCTATTTGGAGTTTGGGGAAATGACCTTCCACCAGGCCTCAGTTTCCCTATCTACATAACTGAGCAGAGGCAGAAGTACTGATGTGGCCATACGCGTGGTCCCCTGAGTCCGGGGTCCTTGGGTCTGGGGCCCAGCTCCGTGTCCCATCAGGAGTGTGGCAATGATCTCGAGCTGATACAGGTGTAGAAAGCAGTGGCCTCAGCCTTAGATGCTCATGAGAGTCACTCTGGGAGCCCTGGAAAAGTCAGGAAGCCCAGGCCGCAGCTGGACTGCCAAGTCAGAATCTCCGGGGGGTGAGACCCCAGTGGGCATGAGTACGTCTTGGAGCCCCCCACGTAGTCCCCTATGTGGCTGGCTTGCAAGGTGATGCTCTAGCCTGGTGTTTGGCATGGGTGGCCCCTTCCAGATCAGCTCTGGCAGAGACCCGGCTGGGGGCAGCACCTGCTTGGCAGTCCCATCAGCCTCGGGGTGAGGCTGGGGCCCCGGGGATTCACCTGCCCCTTCCTGTAGCTCCTTCCTCCAGGGCATGAGGCGGCAGGTGATTCGGCATATCCTGAGGGGGTGGCATTTGAAGGTGTGGGGTCTGAGCACCTCGTCAGACAGTGCCAGGACCACCTTGGCCCCGGAGCTCCTGGGCAGCATCCCGGGAGGGGAGCCACTGCTGGACGGCAGCCCACCCCGAAGCTCACTAGAGAAGGTGAGGGGCAGGGGGTGGGAATGGGCTGGGGTGGGTGGGGGACAGGTGGGAGGAGACAGTGGAGACAGGGCAGGGCCCGAGGATCCAAGACTTCCTTCCTCCTTCCCCAGGCTTCCAGGACCCCCGCCCTCTTGGAGACCCTCCCACTGAGGCTTCTGTGGGCATCTGGGCAACGGCAGAGGGCACAGTGCCTTCTGCCCTGGCAGGTGCGGGCTCAGCACTCCCGGGGTGCAGCAAGGTGGCACCGGTGTACTCTTCAGAGGCGGTAGGGATCCCTCCTCATGGTGGGTGAGCCACGCCGCCCACCACTCTGTGGACATCCTGTTCCCAGTCCCCTTCCCATTACTCCTTGACTCTTGACTCCCATTACTCCTACATCCCTTTGGGGTCTGCCTCCCAGAGGGCTCCCACCCCACGCTCCAATCCGTTGGAACCGAGATTCAGGTCCTCTGGATTTCTCCTGCCCTCCCAGCCTGCCAGTCGTTTCTCCCAGAGACTTCGTAGCTGTGGTTCGTTCATTCATTTATCTGCAGCACAATGCTTGGGTCCACCTGGGTTCTAATCCCAGCTTTGCCCCTCCCTAGCTCTGTGATCTTGGGCAAGTTGCTTAACCTCTCTGTGTCTCCATCTCTCCGTTTGTATGGGAATGATAACAGTAGTCACTCCAGTGGGCATCAACAAGGTAGGGGCATATAATCCCCTAGCCCAGTGCCTGGCACATAGTAAGCACTCAGTTCATAACAGTGTTGATCGCTAGTGGCTGAACTCAGGACTTGGGGTCCGTGATCCCATCTCATCCCTAACCTGTTGTTATAACACTCGGAGTAGCATTTGAGCAGTCCAGTCCCCAGCAAGCCACGCTCCCCCATGATGGAAACAGGGAGAAAAGTCCCCCCTCCAAGCTCCTGAGGGAGGGGATGGCTGGGAGAGCCCAGGGTGGCAATGACCATCCTCAGAGTGGACGCTCCCCTCCCCACCCTTCCTAGCATCCTCCTCAGCTGGAGCCACTGGGCCACAGCCCAGGGGGCCCAGAGAGAGCTGGCGGTTGCCTGGGCCTGGGACCGGAGCTGCAGGGCCGCGCTGGGCTTGTGGCGGCGAAGGCTGGCGCAGGGGCGAGAGGTGGAGCAGTGGGTTCGGGCACGGGCCCACACACGGGTCCGAGGTGCCCTTCACCATTGGCACTCCTGCTGGCAGAGTGAGTCGGGGCCTAGTGCCGGGTCACTGAGGGGGAGGGAAGGGCCAGGTCCATCAGGGAGACCCAGGGTTTTGTGCCCTCCAGCAGAGTCCAGGGATGGGACTGTCATGGAGCACACCCAGGACGGCGGTGGGGGGAGGCAGAGCAGAACCAGGGGCTTGGACATTGCCCGTCCATTCCCCAGCTGTGTGGACCTTACACAAGCTGCACAACCTCTGCAAGCCTCAGCTTACTCATCTGTAAAATGGGGATCACAGCAGCACCCTCCCCAGAGGCTGATTCTGGGGAGTCTAGGACACCATCCCCCACTGTTGGCTCAGAGCTCAGTTCCTAGTAGGTGTTGCTGTCGTCATCCACCGCCATCTTCTTCACCCTCATCCTCATTATCCTCACTTGGCCTTCAGGAGTCTCGGGACTGAGCACCGAGTTCTGGTGTCCTCAGAGCCCAGCATAGGAGGTGGGGAGCACTGGGGGCCATTTCCGAGGCTTCCCACTACACCAACACATCGTATCAGGGAGCTGGTGGGTGGGGACCTGGTTGTTCTGGAAAGTTCCTGTCCTGTCCACTGAGGACAGCTGCTTCTCCAGCCCAATCGTTGTCCAGTTATGCTGACCTCGTTTTCAAGGAAAAGCTGGAAATCTAGATTTTTACATGAATTGTCCTGATCCCTAAACGTTTCCAAGAAATGAAAAACAGTGAGCTGGGTTGGCCTGTTCGTCACAGGACACTTGTAACCCAAGCACTTAAACCCAGATGGTTAGGGCGCCTCCTGTGTCCCTGCTTGGGTCACGTGCAGAGGGCTGGCCGAGGAGGGGCCCACAGATACTGGGGCTGAGGGGCGGGGCTGGGATGAAGGCCCGGGGGCATCTCAGCCTCTCTCGGGTCACAGGGCAGCAGTCCCTGCGTGCCAGGTGCCAGACGTGGGTGCAGGTCCATCTCCAGGCCTTGAGGGGGTCCGTGTTCCAGGACTGGCGGCAGGCGGCAGCTCATTGGAGACACCCAGGGCCCTCCCCAGAGCCGCGTCTACTTCACAGGTGGGTGGGCCCGGGGGTAGGAGGATGAGAGAGGTTATCCCCACTCTGGAAAAAACAGAGATAAAGTCCAGGGGACCTAACGAGGGAGCCATAGACCTGTGACCATTGATTCCTTTACCTGCTTTGTTCGAGAGGCGCCTAACTGATGTCCTGATGAGCCCCGGGTCTCCAACTCCCGGCCAGGTCAGTCCTTTGGTTTGAGGGGACACAGGAAGGGTGGGGGACGTCCACGCCTCCAACACCCACCATTACGTGTGTCCCAACATCACGTCCGTGTCTTGTTGAGCACAAGGAAGTTCTGCTCTATACAGTTGCCAAATGAGTGAACTCTTCGTGAAAATAGAGATGTTCCAGTAAAATGTATAGCGCTCGCTCATGCATAGTTAGAAGCAGCGGGAACGGGTGATGCTTTCTCCCACCGTTCAGCTACAAATGCGCAGATTCTCACGGTGTCCCCGCACGGCGGGCGGCTGGCCGTTGATGGCTCAGTGGCCGATACCAAACTTTCAGACCTGAACAGTGGACACTGTGCTCCCCTCACCAGCCTTCTGCCCCTGGGTGGGCTTGTGAGGGGCGACCAGGCCTCATTGCTCCCCCAGGACTTGGCCCCATACCTGCTGGGTTCCCATGCTGGGGACACCTGCCCTCCTGAGTCCGTCTGCACGTGTGGAGGCCCTGGACCAAAGCTGGCACTTGGACCCGTTACACAATCGTGCCTATGTGCTGAAGGCACAGAGTTATGTGTGCAAAACCATGTATTACCTAGGACACTTAGTGGGGGGATTTGCGGATGCAATTTGGAATAAATGGGACTTTTTGACGCCAAAAGCCTGCTAGGCTCCTCCCTCTGCTCCTGTTTTTCAGCCGTTTCCAGACCTGGCGTGGAATTGAAAGAGACACAGGGGTGGTCCCGGCCATGGGAGCCTCTCAGGATGGCCCGAGAAAGGCCGTGGGGGCCACATTTGCCACGTGACAGGATGCCCGAGCAGCCAAGGCCTGGGCACAGGAATGGCATGTGGCCCAGGCCTCCGTGGCCTACTGCAGAAGCTACGTGCCGGTGGGGGGGCCGGGCGCACAGGCAGCTGAGCAGGGCCCGGGCCCAGCAGGCCTTCATAGCACAACGAGCGGCTCTGGGCCGGTGCTGTGAGGCCTGCCGGCGGGCAGAAGAGAGAGTGGCCCTGTGCCAGACTCAGTGGTGCGTGAGTCCTGCCTATGCCAGGTCAGCCGAGCCTGTGCTGCCCAGAAGCTGAGTGGCAGGTGGGTGCCCGAGCCCTGCGGGCAGCCCCACACGGTGCTTCCAGCTGAGTCTGTTTCTGAGGCCTTGGGCTTGCTGTTGTGAGAGGTAGAGGGTATTTGGTGGCTGGCGATGGGGCTTGGGAAGTTGGGGTCAGAGGAAAAGGCGATCCCAGACACCGCAGCTTGTCCTGGGGTCCAAGTCCAGACCCGCACTTTCCAGCAAAGCAACCCCTCTCTGAGCAAGTCTTTGAAGGACAGAGGAGGATAACAGGCCCGCCTTAGGGAATGCGTGCGAGCACTGGGCTCAGGGCTCAGAAACACGGCAGGTGCTCATTAAACAGTGCTCCTGTGAGGGAGAGCAAGGCAAAGACAGCAAGACTGGCCGCTCTCTGTCCCTGGGGTGTGATGTTCTGCTGCTCTCTGGGCCTCTTTTAACCCAATTTCCCCAGAAGAGGGATGAGGGGAGGATCCAGCAGGGCACTGGCTGGGAAGGGTTTACCTTCTGCTTCACACACATGTGGGCTCCTCCCTCTGTCCCAGGATCCTAGAGGCCTGGGCCCAGTCAGCAGCCAGGGCCCATGACCAGCGAGCCGCCATCACCCAGTTCCAGCAGGCTGGGTCCAGACGCCTCCTGTGGACCCACTGGGCCCAGTGGCAGGCAGCGCTGCTCAGTATGCGGTTGGAACCACAGGGGAAGGCCCAGGAGGCCCGTGCTGTTGACCTTGGGCAGTGGCCCAGGGTGGCCAGCAGAGGGCGCCTTCTAGCGCTGACCCCAGCTCCAGCCCTGTGGAAGCAGGTGAGCCGGCCTAGGTGGGGTGGGCCAGTGGCCTCAGAATCGGCTTGCTTCAGCCCATGGTGACAAGCGTGGCTGGATGCTTATCCAGGGGACCCATTGGTAGGGACACTACCCCTACCACGTTCTAGAACTGCCTCCCGGCTCTGGAAGCCTGCCATCTTTGGGTCCATCGGCAAACATTTACTGAGCACCTACTAAGTGCCAGCCCAGCACAAAGACAAATGCTGTGGTTACAGTCTGTTAGGGAGACAGACACCTGAACTCATATGTATCCTGGTGCAGCCTAGGGTCAGGTACATGGGGATAGGAGCAACTGTTTGCCTAGGAGCAACTGTTTGCCAAGTCCCTTTTATTCTTTATCGGAAAAAATAAACCTGCTCATTACAGGAAAATCAGGAGGTATAAAGGGAATGTTTCTTTCATAACTCCCTCCACTCATAGACAACCACCAGTCCCTCTCCAGACCCGAAGCACTTAGTTCTGGGGCGCCTGGCTGGCTTAGTCGGTGGAGCATGGGAGTCTCGATCTCAGGGTTGTGAGTTCGAGTCCCATGTTGGGTGTGCAGAGTACTTAAAAAGAAAAGAAAACCTTTAAAAGAAAAAGGAAAAAAAGGAGGCATTTAGTTCTGACACCTGCAAATGGTGACAAGAGCCTAATGGCAAACAGGACTGAAGAGGCCTCAATGGAAGCCAGGCCCAAGAATGGACACCGCATGGCAGTCTAGGGATGTCACTGGAGGATACACAGCCCCAGAGTTACTGGCAGGCTGCGCAGGTTCCTAAAGATGTACAGGAATCATCCAGAGTCCTGTTTCAGAATGCCAGGAAGCATGTAATAGATTCTAGAAAGGTTCTTAGAAAAAAGATTAAATTGTTTTTATGAAAGATCCTATTTAGAGAAAGAGAGTACGTGTGTGTGAGGGGGAGGGGCAGAGGGACCGAGAATATCAAGCAGATTCCACACTGAGCACGGAGCCTGAGGCAGGGCTCCATCTCACCACCCTGAGATCATAAGCTGAACCAAAATCAAGAGTCAGACACTGAACCGACTGAGCCACCCAGGTGCCCCTACATTGTTTTTTAAAATGGAATTGAAAGGGCCTCGCTTTGGTTATTTGCAGAACCCATACATTCATGCGCACAGGGGGCGATGGCAACAGCAGCTTCTGGGGACTCGGCATTTTATTTCTAGATCTGTGTCACAAGCCAATTTTACTTTTGGTCTGTTTAAAAATATTAACATTCCATTCTTTTTTTTTTTTTTTTAAGATTTATTTGACAGAGATCACAAGTAGGCAGAGAGACAGGCAGAGAGAGAGAGGGAAGCAGGCTCCCCGCTGAGCAGAGAGCCCAACTCGCAGCTCAATCCCAGGACCCCGGGATCCTGACCGGAGCCGAAGGCAGAGGCTTTAACCCACTGAGCCAACCAGATGCCCTTAACATTCCATTCTTATCAGCAAAGGCAGTCTGGATCCCCCGTGCTGATGGAGAAAAAGAGGTGTACCAAAACCAAAAGTAAATGCCGGGGAGAATAACAGGGTGCTTGGCTCCAGCCCCTCTCCCCGTTTCTACCACAGGAACACATGCACCCAGGCAGCCTTCCCCGAGTGGCACAAGCTGGTATTAGGCCTCCCCATGCAACAGAGGCCCTCTGAGAGCCCCTGGTCTGTAGCAGAGCCGTAGCTGGGCTTGGGCTCCGGAGTCAGGCAGGTAATCTCGCTTTGTAAAACCCAAGTGGGGACGGACTGCACTGGCACAGGTGAGCCCTCACCAAGTGGTGTACATGATGGGTCCGCCCCTCCGCTTCCACCCCCGGCCGTGCTTTGAGGACAGGGGAGGCAGCAGGGATGTGTGCTGATGGCCCCCCTAAGGGCAGGTGTCTTCCCTGCCTCCTCTGGGAGCCTCGGGGCCACACAGGAGGAGGCCCTGCTTCTGGTCAGGGCAGGGCAGGAAGGACCCTGCCACGTTGCCTGGGATGCAGGGGGTCCAAGCCCATCGGGTTCAGGTTATCCTCTCTGGCTGTTCCCTCAGGCCCACGGCTACGGGACACTGACCGGCCCAAGCCAGCACCACAACCACGGGGGACAAAGGAAGCCGAGAAAAGTCTCCTGGGCTCAGAGTAAGGAGACCAGTCCCTGGGGCCAGACATCTCCCAGGCCTGGAAATCGGCTTCCAGCAACGAGGCTAATCCTTTTTAGGTACAGATTTTCTTTTCTTTCCAGACGGCAGAGAGCGCCCCCTCTGCTTTGCCTTGTGCGCAGGCCAGGCCCAAGGCCGGCCCCCTACGAGACCAGGAGGAGACCGCTACTCTGAGGCCCCACCCCTCCAAGGCCAAGGCGAGGCGGCTAAAAGACAGCCGGGGTAAGGGCAGCTGCGCGTGCGCGGGGCCCCGGGGGCGGGGCGGGGCTCAGCCGGGGCGGGGCACAACCGGGGCAGGGCTCAGCCGGGGAGGGAGCTGGGCCCTCTCTCCTCCTTGCTCCCTCCTGGAGGATCTGCCCTTCTCCCTGGTCATTAAGGGGTCCTGATGCTCTTGGCTGTCGGGGTGCATGCCAGGGCTTCTCCCCACCAGGAGGAAATACCTGCAGCGCTGGCACCGGGAGGCACTGCTTTCCCGGCTCCACGGCTCCCAGCGGGCCCGGAGCCTGGCAGCAGCATGGCGGCACTGGGTAGATGTTCAGGGTGCCGAGCAGCTGGCACGGACGCTGGTGAGTGGGTGGCACCCTCTCCCCAGCCTCAAGCTGATCTAGCAGCTCACCTCCTCCTCAACCCTAACCCCTAGAAATGAAGTCTCTCAAAGCATATTGGCCTCTGTATGGACCAAAGTCTGAAAGCTTGGGGCCAGGTGCAAGGATCTGCAAACTCACCTTAGGGGACGCCCGCATTGTCACAGCCCCTTCTCCGTGGTGCTGCGGAGCTGTAAGGGAAAGACGCAGCAGAGGGGCAGGGGGGCAGGGGGGCAGCAGGGGCTGGCTGGGCCCCTCTTAACCCCCCCTCCCACAGCTGAGGCAGTGGCACCTGACGCAGGCCTGGCGTGTGTGGCGGCGGCGGGCTCTGCAGCTGTGGGTGGCTCAGCAATTACAGCAGCAAGAAAGTGGCCGGGTCCTTATCCAGGTATGGGGATAGCTCCCACCCCTCAGCAGCTCTTTGGAGCTGGGGCCCCTCCATTTTCAGGGGAGGTGTCCGTTCCATTAGAGAAAACACAGCTTGGGTCCCCATTTAGCTGGTGATCATGCGCTCAGCCCGGTTCTACCCACTCGGTGTGGGCACGAGCCTTGACCACAGCATGTCTGCCACTCACACTAGCCCACGTTGGGTATGGGTCCCTGAGTGCCCCATCCCTTAGCCACCCCGCTCTGAGCGTAGCTTCCGAAATCACAAATCAGATCTGTTCTGAGCCTGGGCATTTGGCCTGGGGCTAGAGCTGGCTGGGTGGCTGGCTAGGGCGGAGGGAAGGGGGGGGGTGAGTCGCCCATTCACTCCAGGGAGAGAAGGAACTGGGCACAGGTGTTAGCCTAGCACAGACAGCAGACCCAGGAGGGAGCCAAATAGCCTTTCCTTCCTCCTCCCTAATTCCAGGTCTTTGAGAAGTGGCGCCAGCACCTGGCAGCAAGGGGCCAGAAGAGGAGCCACCAGCAGTCTGATAGCCCTGAGCCCGGCGGGCATCAGGAGCCCTGGGAGTAGGCTGGAAGCTGCTCGAGCCCATGTGCATGGTGGACTGGAGGCGGAGCAGGGGACCAGCTGTAGTTGTGACTTGTTCCCTTGGAAAGAAAAACAACACTGAGCCCAGCCTCCCTAAGGAAGGAACAGCGCCCCACCCATCAGGGCAGTGCAGGCTCAAGCCACCAGACATCCCACTGCCTGGTGACCCGGGAGCCGGCTCTCTGAGCTCTGAAAAACAATAAAACACCGTTCTTAGTCCCAGCTGCTTCTTTTGCTCAGTGTCCCCTAAGAGCTGCCCCTCTGCCTCAGCCAGCCACCCTGGGATGGAAGTGAAGAGGGTACACCCGTGACCCTGGCTGCCTCTTCTGCCATCAGGCTGCTCTTTGGACACTTACCCTACCCTCCTGCTGAGTCAGTGAAGACCAGCCGGCAGGGACTGGGACCAGGACAGGGAACAGCTTCTACACATCTAGCAGTCACTGTCCCTGGGCAGTGGGGCTCGAGGGCTGACTGCTGGGGAGCAGTGCCAGGCAGAGAGCTTCGGGAGCAGGATGAGCAGAGGGTCAGAAGCAGCTGGCAGTAAGAAGTCCCACCTAAAAAAATAAGCCAGGAAGAAGTCAGTCCTGCTCTGTGGAGCCTTATCTTTGCCCTTGACAGTAAGACAGGGTATCCCCTCCGCAGCCAGAGGAGATAAAGGGCAGGTCAAGGGATCCACCAAGTATAAGGGTTGAGATGCCTTTAACCTGTACGAGGCACCTTCCCTCTTGAACCACCGGAATACAGAAATAGTTCTTCTGAAAAGCAGCACAGGAGAAAAGTGAAAGCCCTAGCTGGCTCTCGGGCAGACAGGAGGGGGGTGGGGGGTGGGGCCCAAGAAATGCTGGCGTTATCAGGCTTCAGGCCAAGGCCTGTCTAGAAGCCCAGCGGGCGGCCCTCCAAGCAGGTGGGCAGGGCAGGGTCTGCCCCTCCAGCCACAAGCGGACATGCCAGCAGCCACCACCTCCGCTGGGCCAGTGTCTTCCACAGCACCGCAAATGCCTGCCACCCGGGGTTCACTTTGCTGCTCCGCAGGTCCCAAGGTCCCCAGCCAGCTCCCAGCGGCTGCCCTGGTCCAAGGGCTCGGTCAGCAACAACTGCCCTCTCTTCTCAGGCAGGATGTTGTTCCGCCCACCACGGTCCTCAGCAGGACAGGGTGCACTCCTCAGGGTGCACACAGTCTAGGCCGAGCGAGGAACACCAGGCTCCCCCGTGGGGCTGACTCCGGTCCAGCCAAAGCCGGGAAGCTTCAGGCCAGTCTAGCTGCCATCATCTCGTGAGGAGTGGAGGCCGGGGCTGGGGGAGAAATGCCAGAGAAGAGGGGTCCCCGGGAGAACCAGGCCTGGGGAGGAGGAAGGCAGGACAGCAGGGGCCTCAGGCTAAGGCCACGAGGGTCCGGGATCACAGAGCCTGTGTGTCTTGCTCTGGCTCAGGCCTGTTGAGAAGTTCGAATGTGTCTTCCACCACCTGCCACAGGCAGTTGTCCAGCGGAAACTCGTTGTCCACCAGGTTGACCAGGAAGTAGTTGTCGTGGATGTACTGGATGATCATGCGGGACGGCGACTCCTCCTCGTATAGCTTGCCCCACTGCTCAACCCACAGGGCGAAGGCTTCATCCTGCAGCCACACGCATGCACACACAGACACACACACATGTGCACACACAGGCAGGCAAGGTGAACAGAGCTGCCCTTGGGTCAGGGCTCCATGTTCCTCGCTCCTCCCCGCAAGGGCCTGTAAGCGGCTCCACAGGACACTTCCAGGAATGGAACAAAGGTTCCCGGCAAAGTCACCTCCAGCCCAGAAACCAACACCCTGAGTCAGGGTCAGGACCCAGCCAGGAAGGCGGAGCCCACCTGCCCTGGTGACGTGGCCCCAATGACACCTCCCGCTTAAGGTTTGCTGGGTGTGCGGGGCACGCCCACTCCTGGCCCCCTTACCTTCCAGAACATGAAGCTAACAGGATCGACCACCGTAGGCTGGATGATCTCCCGCCCAGGGAAGATGCCCCAAGTGACCGCGTTGGGCTGCAGCTCAGGGGCATTGGTGATGTTTTCACCCTGAGGGCAGACGGGGGTGGGAAGGTGGTCAGAGCAGACCTGGGCGTAGGCACTGCAGTCATCTTCTTGCCTGGGAACTCGCAGGGGTGGGTGGTGGTGGTGGAGGAGGCTTTGCTCCATCCCCTCCACCTGCCCCCTCTTAGTCCCACCCGGGAAAGCGGGGGCGGGGCACTTCCTTCCTCCTCCCTGTGCTCCTAGCTCCACACCCCCCCCCCAAGTCGCATCCTCCTCATCCGGACGTCCTGCTGGCTCCTGCTGGTTCCCTTTACGGGTCTGTGGATCTGTTGCTGTGTGTCTGCCCAGCCAGGCTGCCCCTTGCTACTTGGCTTGACACAAGGGCCTCTGTGATTCTAGTCTTCCCTGGTCCTATTATCCACACCCCGTCCACCGTGACCTATGACAAAATGGGGAGCCAAGCCATTGCTGCCAGGAAAGGCTCCCTCTGGCATTTAGAGGAAACCCCAATCCCCAGCAGCACAGTCAGTTCTCTTAGCCTTACTCTGAACCCACCCAGCAGTGTCCCCATAGGCCAGCAGACAAGGCCTTCACAGGCCTCCGCCCATTCCCCAGGATGCCTGCTCTTTGTCCTCAAAGATTCCAACCACAGGGGACCCCTCCAAGCCTTCCCTGACCTCCCAGATTAGATGTCCCTTCCCTGGGTCCCCAGCATCCCATACTGAACCTTACTGTTAGAAGGGCAACCCGATTTGTAATTGCCCACGGACTGGGCCCCTCCCTATACTGGGGGCCCTCTGGGCTGAGAGCAGGGGCCTGGCTCTGGGCGTATGTTTCCACCATGCCTGGCCAGCGCTAGGTGCTCAGTGCTCGCAGACGGATGGAGTAAACACGGTGCCCTCAGCCCCTGGACTCGGGGCCTGCTGAGCTCTGGCTAAAGCCCGGGGCCGGCCTACCTTGACGTCAACGATGTGGTAATTAACCCGGAGCTCATACTTCTTCAGCACCTGCAGAAGCGCCCCCACCGTCTCGCGGGAAGTGAAGAACTCCAAGTAGGCCTATGGGCAGGTGGGGGGAGACCAGCAATCAAACCCAGTCCTTGCACACCCCTGCCCCATGTGCACCGCGAATGGACGCTGGCCCTCCCAACACCCCGGGCAGGCGCCCTCGCAGACACGTGTGGCAGGACTTGAGGCCCTGGGGCTAGCATGGCCACGTGGACCGAATCACAACTGAGAATGGGCGAATGCAAGGGCGGGGAGGGGAGCAGGCGTGTGGGCTTTCTCCAGGAGACAGGTCTGAGGGCAGCTGCCTTCCTTCTCCCAGCCAGGAAAGGCCCCACAGAGAAGCCGCTTCAGAAGCCGGACGGGAGGCCCGTTTGGTAAGCTGAGACGCAGGAGGGTCCCCGACACATCCCGGCTGCCCCACTCACTGGAGGCTAACAGTGCCCCCAGGGCTTCTCCAGCACCAAGGACCTGTCCGGGATGAGGCTGGGTCCGTGGCCTGCAGGGGGAGCATGGCTACCCCCATCCCACAGATGAGGAAACTTAGTCCGGAGAAGCTGAGCCATGGGGCGCACTGAAGGGAGACAGCGGGGCGGGGACTGAAAACCCAGCTCTTTCAAACTCCAGAGCCCACGGGCTACAGTTCTAGAATGGCGTTTTAACTCCAGGAGCCCTAGGAGAAAGGTGTCAACTCGGGACACCAGTAGCAGTTCCATTCACGAATGCTTCCTATGTTCTTCCCACGTGCCAAGCACGTGCTTTGTTCATTTCGGCCCCAGAGCATGACGGGCTCTCTCTGCCTTTTACAGAAGAGACAGCTAAAGCGCATGGCAGTCAAGTGACCTGCATCCCCAGGTCTGACTAAACACGTGAGCTCCTGTCCGCACCGTCCTCTGCCCCCCAGAATAAAGAGACCCCAGGGAGGGAGGGGAGCTTCTCTGTCCCCATCTCCAGGGAACCCCCGGGGGCTGGCCAAGGTGGGCCAGCCCTGTGTGTCCCTGCCGCACCTTCTGGAAGACATAGCCCCCACTGGGGCCCCAGCCCACGACAGGGTCGGAGGACGGCTTCCCGTTGATGTTGGGCTGCGAGTTGATGGTGAGGATCCCCTGCCGGTTCACGCGCAGCAGCTCCTCCTTCATCAGGCTGGTCTCGGCCGCCAAGGGCTCATCATTCCAAGGGAGGCAAGTCACCTGGGGCAGAGGGTGACCCGGGCTGGGACAGCGATGACACCGGGCACCCTGGGCACCCTCCCTCTCGCAGGCTCCACCTGTGCGTCCATCAGCCTTTCTAGATGTCCCAGGTGGGGACTTCCCAGCTCACCCTCCCCTTTGCGGAGGTGCCCCATTCAGACAGAGATGGGAGGCTTGGGTGGGGACGGGCAGGGGGAGACAGGGCAGGGGGTTTAACCAGGAACCCCACCCCAGCATCACTCACCTTATAGCCATGTTGGTTGGGCTCTCCCGAGAGGTAGTGTGCAAAGACCTCAAAGACGCTTTCTTCGCTGGTCAGCTCCTCCCCCCACATCTTCAGTAGCTCTTCCCTTGGGGACTTACTCTTCAGGTAGAAGAGGTAGTAGTCCTTCAGCTCCCCGAAAGCTGGCGAGGAGGAATTGCCCCTGGCAGAGAAGGTGCCCAGGGGGCAAGGCATACTCCTGACCTGGGGCTCCTGACAGAGGGACAGTTGTGCCCACTTGCCCAAGGGGCATTCCTATGAATCCCGTCCCACACCGCTCCCCAAAAAGCACGCCAATAAGCAGGCAAACTCCCTCTGCCTCCCCCCCCAAGAAACAGGATGCACTTGCAATGGGTTGCCTGCGGGTGCTCACCAGCGCCCATTGGGGAACTCATCCCACTCTTGCGTGCGGTAGATGTAACTCTTTGGTCTGGAGGCCCAGAAGATGGGACGTACATCTTCCTCCCGCCGCTTTGGGTGGGCACTGATGGCCCAGGGCAGGGGACGCCTGGGTGAGAATGGAGACAGGATGAGTAAGGGACTGGCTAGAGGAAGCAGGAAAGGCAGAGGTGGGGAGAGTGGGGACAGCAATCAGCCGGAGTTCTCTGATCTGACTGTGCATGGAGTTC